GTATTATGTATGTTGCTGTTTTTACAAGCTCTTTCCATATGTGTTAGGGCAACACCTCAACTGTATATATGTATAACCTCTGTGAATGAATCAAGAATCTTTCACTCTCAATCTCTTCTTCACCCTATTAGTGGTATCAGATCTCTTTCTCAAACGAGCATTATCAATGGCCAGTGAATCCTCCACAACCATTACCTCTCCCATTTCCACTAATGCTGCCATTCCTACAGGATCAATCAATCCGGCATGCCATTCTCACGTCGGTTTCGGAACCAATTGCCCCCTACATATCCACGATAGAGTCATCACAACAAGCCTGGAGAATCCTGGCTAATCTCTATGCAAACCACTCAAGATCTAGAGTTTTTACACTCAAGGAGCGCCTCCAGAATACTCGCCGTGAAGGCCGAACTGTCACCGAATTTCTCCATCAACTGAAGGTGCTTGCTGATGAACTTGCTGCCATAGACAAGCTCCTCACCAACGATGATCTGACGGTGTATGTTCTCAACGGGATAGGACCTGAATTTCGTGAGATCTCTGCTTCACTCCGTGCTCGAGACGAGCCACTTTCTTTTAAAGAACTTCATGACAGATTAGTTGCGCATGAAGACAGCATGCACCGGGAAGAAACCCGGCTTGAAAATGCACCGGTGACTGCTCACTTTGCTGCCATGCCCATGAGAAAGCCCGCTGGTAATACTCCTAATTTTTCAACAAATTATGGTTTCTCAAATACTTCTCTTCAGTCCAATGGTGCAGGAATCCTACCACTGCCACAAAGTATCCAACCATTTGGATCAGGCCAACATTTTGCAGGAGGAAGAGGTAATGGGCATAACAGGCCAACCCAATTCAACAAAAGAAGAGGCGGCCCAACTCGGCCCAATACTGGCAGACCCCATATCTCTTGTCAACTTTGCAACCAATTTGGGCATACAGCTCGTACTTGTTATTTGTTTCGGAATCAAGGCCATGGACCCACGGCTCACTATGCTGCATCTACCGGTCCAAGTACTAGTGGGTGGCTGATTGATTCGGGTGCTAATAATCACATCACCACCAATCTGTCCAACTTGGCACTCCACTCCGAATATAATGGCCCTGATGAACTATTAATTGGAGATGGCTCAGGTTTGCAAATCACTCATGTTGGCCATACCACTCTCACAACACCCTCCTCATCTATTCCTTTAAATAATGTTTTATGTGTACCTACCGCATCTCGCAATCTTATTTCTGTGTCTCAATTATGCAAAACTACAAATTCCATTGTTGAATTTCACCCAAATTTTTTCTTGGTGAAGGATCGCAACACGGGGGCGATATTACTGCGAGAGCCAAACCGGCATGGGATGTACCAAGTTCCTCCAATGGGTCCCACTAAACAACTACCTATGGCACATTTTGGGGAGCGGACATCGGCAATAAATTGGCATGCAAGGCTGGGGCACCCATCCTCCAAAATATTCAAAAAAATTCTCCATGTTATTAACCTGCCATTAATAAATAAAGCCGATGATTTTTATTGTGATTCATGCTCTTGTTCTAAAAGTCACAAACTTCCATTCTCCAAATCTTCTATTACCAGCCATGCCCCTCTTGAATATATTTTTTCTGATGTTTGGAGTCCTGCACCCACTGCTTCTATTGATGGGTACAAGTACTTTGTTATTTTTGTGGATTTTTATAGTCGTTATGTTTGGTTATATCCAATCCAAAAAAAATCAGATGTCTCAATATTTTTCCCAAAATTCAAGTCATTAGTTGAAAATCAATTTGGGCGTAAAATAATTAATTTCTACTCTGATGGGGGTGGGGAATATGTTGCTCTTCGCAATTATTTTCAACAAAATGGTATTTCTCATTTTACCACTCCACCTTATACTCCAGAAATTAATGGCGTTTGTGAAAGAAGGAACAAGACCATTGTTGAGACTGGTTTGGCCTTACTTCATTATGGCTCTCTACCACCTCAATTTTGGTCTCATGCTTTTCAAACTGTAGTATATTTACTTAATCGCCTACCCACTCCTGTTTTGTCTTTCAAATCACCATTTCAAAAACTTTTTTCTATTTCTCCAAATTATTTAAAACTCAAAACATTTGGCTGTGCTTGCTATCCCTGGATGCGTCCATACACCCAAAATAAACTCCAAGCAAGATCCTGTCAATGTATTTTTGTTGGGTATTCTGTTGATCATTTAGGTTATAAGTGTTTTGATCCCCAATCAAATAAAATTTTTATTTCAAGACATGTTATTTTTCATGAGGATTTCTTTCCATTTCGGGTCTCCAATGGCAACTCTACCCTCCCATATCCAGCTAATCCCGATCCTACCCAACC